ACCATCCGATAGATGAGAAACAAAGGAACTGGATCCCGATTCGAGATCTTCGAGTTCCATCGGCCTGATATGCCGCTTTGGCTTGTTTATGCGTGGCTGCTTCTTCACCACTATAGATAGGAGAGAGAAGGAAAAAATATACCCATCTTATGGGAAGAGAAAACACCATTGTAAGTCATTCAATTATGTGGTTATATGAAAGTCCTTTCATTCTTCAGAGTCATAATCAAACTATTCTATATTGACTGTTACAACATTGCAACTTCATAATTGAAAGAAACAGTACACTTATAATACTAAATTTGTGCAGAATTTACGCTTATGCACAATTGTTTTTTGCTTTAAACATAAATGCACTCACTCCGTTGAGAGGATGCTGATGTTCTGCTGTGCAAATTCGCACCTTCTTTGTGCAGTGATTAGTGAAATACCATCTTGTCAAAAGGAAAAAAAATGTCAATGTAAACCATCATTCTTTATATGGACTTTGGATCAAATTACTAATTCTGTTTTACACCCGCATAAGCTGAGCTAAAGAGTACCACAATACTAACCAATAATACTACTAATAAGAATGACTAATGCAGGTGAACAAGTATGATGATGCTTGGAAAAAGCAATGGTACGGAGCGGGACTATTCTACGAGGGCGGAGAACAAGTGGAAGTTGATGTGTTCAAAAAACTGGAGAAGCGAAAAGTTTTGAGCACTGTGGAGAAAGCTGGGCTTCTATCAAAGGCTGAAGAACTAGGCTTTACGCTGTCCTCCATAGAGAGGTTAGGAGTATTTTCAAAGGCCGAAGAACTGGGGCTGCTCAGTTTGCTGGAGAAGGCAGCGAGTTTCTCGCCTTCTGCTCTGGCATCGGCGGCGCTCCCTATTTTAGTGGCGGCTATACTAGCAATCGTGTTGATACCTGATGATTCCGCGGGTCTTGTGGCGGTCCAGGCCGTTTTGGCTGGAGCACTCGGGTTGGGAGCTGTCGGGTTGTTAGTTGGGTCAGTTGTTTTGGATGGGTTGCAGGAGGCTGATTGACCATCGTGTATATCCAACCTCACTTGAAAACTACCCAAAAAACGGAAAAGAAAGGAACCAATTCCTGAAAACGTCAAATAAAAGGGATATTTTTATGCTTCTTACTTTTTAGCTGTGACTGTGAGATTCATATCGTCTGTGTCAATTTATTTGGAATTTTGGTGTAGTTATTGTTGCTGTACGTTCTAGCTGTTACATGCCTTACTTGACATTAGATTTGTGTTGAAACTTGAAACTAAACCAATTCTTAAGGTTACGCTCTTGAATAATTTTTGTAGTTATTGTATGTGAAGCAGTATAATTAATCAAATCCTTGTTCCTGCACGACTCTGAAACATTAGTACAAATTTCTGAATTTACTAAAAATTGATTTTGGCTTGCTTTGTTTATGAACTAAACAGGCTAAAACCCACCACAAGCTACGTACAAAACGTAATAGGACGAATAACTCGGTGAGTTGAAGGAAGAAAAAAATTTCGGGGAGAAGAATTAACGCACGTCAGTGCAAGAAAAAAAGGAAAAAGTAATGATTCTACGGAGATGCGGGGTATCGATCCCCGTACCTCCATGCTAAGCGAGCGCTCTACCATCTGAGCTACATCCCCATGGTGTTGCTATTCGCAACCACTTGCAAAATAAACTTGTCAGAAAGTTTCCCTCTTCGCCTCCTTTGTTATCGTCCATATACCCGAACCCAAGGTGTACGCATGGGTGCAGCGTGCGCAGGTAGATTGATCTTTCATGAACTTGGCTTCGATTCTAATGAACTAATGATGCGTTAAAGCATTTGATGTACTTTTAAGTACTCATAACTGTGCAAATTTTGTGTTCCAAATTGCTTTCCATGCGTATGTTGAATGTCTCGGTGATTCTCATGGTCAAAGTTCCCCGGGCATGAGGACTGGGTTCTATATGTAGCATCTATTCAAGCTTCAAAGTAGTGCGGCATAATGACCGCAAGGTAAACCAAGCAATAGACAATGATTGAA